TTCGAGAGGTGAAGAACTTGCAGAAAACAGGTGTTCCTGCGCTTTAGAAAGACATACAGAGAGAGAGACACATACACACACAGACATAGATACACACACACAGAGACCCACACACTGCCTCAACACACTCGACTTAACACTTCACACTGAACACTTATAACACACTTAACAGATAACTCGCACTCTGACTTCCTACGTGATGAAAAATGCTTTCGGGCCACTCGTCGTCTAGTTTGTTGCTCTTTTTTTGCTTTTCTTGAACGTTGCTATTTTGTGTTTGCTTTTCATGCACGCACTTTTTCTGCACTTTTTTTGCACTTTTCTTGTTTCCCATACTCCCATAGAAGTTGGCTAACTGGCCAACATAACCATATCCCCACCCTCTGAGGTACCGTGATGTGTTCCACACTGGTGATGGTGCCAGTTGGTCGGGTTTTTGCGCCTCTGTTGTACCAAAGTTGAGAAGGCTCCCTGAGGTGGTAGTGGAGAGCCCCCCAGGGCGGGCCAAAGTGGCCAAGGCGCCAGGTAATGGTGCCCAACTCTGTGATCACACCGTGAGGATTCGTGGAGCCTCGATCGCACCACGCTTCGCGCACGCCACGAGCGTGGTACGTGGTGGACGGTGCCGGCGCACGATCCAAAGGGACGAAACAGCAGAATTGGTGCAGCACTCGAGTTTGAAACAAAATTGAAAGACAAACAGCTCAAAAGCTCATAGCGTCTGCAGTTTCAATGAAAAAACAGTACAACATACTACGCAACAGTCTCCCTCGGTATCTAAATCTACGCCTCTCCCCCCACGCCTCTCCCCGAGGAGTGCATGACCTGGTCCGACCCGTCTCGCTGGTCTCGACCACCCACCAGCCGGGGACCGGTCTCGACCGTCCGACCCAGCAAGGCACCGCTGTACTGCGCGCCGTTCACGGTCAGAAAGTCGTAGTTGGCCTCAAAGCACGGTGCTCGCGGATCCGGTCAGGGTGGTCACCGCTGGTACTGAGTGCCGGATCCGCTGTACGGGTCAGCACGGTGGTCGCTGTTCTCCGTTCTCTCTTTTTGTGTGGTGTGTGTGTGTGTGACTTGCCCCTGTTTTGAGAGAAGACTGAACTGGCATTGATTCGGCATTGATGTATATTTCAAGAAAGGTCCTTTGGATCACTTGTCACCCAAAGAAGCTGTCGAAGCTGTAGTCAGTCTAGCTGACGTAGTCAGTCTCGTGAAGCTCCCGACTCGGCGAGTTCTCGCCGCGGTCGCGACCCGAGTCGAGTCCATTTGTGAGAGCCCGCGGGGAGTCTGTGCCGTGCCTCCACTTGGAAATCCAGCACCTCCATCTTCACCTGTTGAAGTCTCCATCCATTCACAGAACTGCCAGGTGTGGTGATGAACAAGACCAATTGAACATCACATCAAGAACCCTCCAAGTCTCGCTGGACATTTCACGTTGGATGGCGATGTGTTGTTCTCATGTCCCAGACACTCCATGTATACCATATATGCCTACATTGACCCCCAAAACCACCCCAATGTAGGTATATAAATATACCATACATGGAGTGTCTGGTTGTTGCTGTTGTTGTTTAACGTTTCACGAGAGCTCCACCCGGTGACCGGCAGAGTAACGTCCGCCCGCGCCGTCCCATCACCCGGTCGTGTGTGAGGACCTCAGCAGTTCTTGACCGAGAAAAGGCCACCCATGTGGTTGACCCTGGGGTCAATGTATGTATTATATTATGGTATTAAGGATTCCAGTCCATGCAGTCCCAAAACTCCGTATCATATACATTGCCATATATAATTGGATTCCAGAATCATATATTACCATGTAACATGCCATATATTACCTACGTTACATTGACCCCAGGGTCAACCACCCCTGGCCTTCTCTCAGTCAAAACATGCCAAATCCCTTCACTTGTGTCTGGGCCATGGAGCATGAACGAGGCCTCGTTCCAAAAACAAGCCAGTGGCCAATCTAAATGGGATGTTTCAAAAACCCTTTTGAGTGTGTTTTTTCTTTTAAACAGTGTTGTAATTCTCATATGACATATGCATCACAATCTCGTATGTCTTCTGCGTGGCCATCCTGGTCGATCCCCACCAGGCCGGATCGGCGGAGTCTGAACCCAGCTCGAGCTGAAGCCGGAGCAACAGCGAGCGCCGGGCCTTCTGTTGAACCTCCCAGGTGCAGTGCTGGTTATTCTTGTAGGTTCTGTACCTGTTGGCACCTGGGAGAATGCGAAGCCACCTCTGGTGGCAGCCCTGCCTGTGCCTGAAGCCCCCAAAATAGGGGCATGGTGGGCATGGGTGGGAGCTTGGAGAGGGGCCCCAACATGCTGGCTGAACCATCTCTCCACGTGTCTCACCCACAGCTTCAAATCTATGACTAAATCTGCTCAAAATAGTCATGACTCATACCCGCGGAGTAGTGGTTCTAAAAGCAACTCTCTAACAGATATAGACGTGTGGAAAAGAACAGGAAAAACAAAATTGGTGTCTGTCTTCACCAATGCCAATACAGGATTTAGTGAATGTTAAGCCTTTGCACATGGAGGAAGGGTCGAAAACTTGTCAACCTTTTGGCCTCCAATGGGCCTCTGGAACGACCCTTCTCCAGCCTGGGCCTGGGGGGACCACAGGAAGGCAGCGTACATTGGAAAAGAAAAAGCTTAGGACCACTCACATTCTGCTGGCAAACGAGGCCAAGAGATGCCAAGAGATCTTATTTTGGGAGCTTCTCCGGGTGTAAAACACCGAAAGCTCCACGTGGAGCCGCAATTGAAGATCTTTGGCACATCACAATGCACTGGTGGTGAGTTTGCACAAGAGTCTAACTCAAGAGGGCACGGTCAACAGGCACTGGACTCCTGGAACCTCTAGCTACTTTCGCGTTGTGGTCCTGAGGATTCTTTCAGTGGTTTGGGCCGATTTGGGAAGAAGATGGAAGAAGCTACTACTTCCCGTCACCAATAAGAAAAACCCAACTCTACCACTGGCAGACTCAACCTATCTTACATACACTCCCTGAAATGATCATGGAAGTAGATGGCATGGCCCCAAAAGGATTAATGTTGGATCACGATTAGTAAAGGGGACTTCTATAATGCTAAATTTCCAAAATTATTCAGACCCCCCTGTTTGAAAAATGGTACCTCTATAATGCTAATCTTTTTTTTGGCCCTAAATCGTTAAATTGGAAACCCAATTAATGAGGGTTTGAATTCCTTCTGAACCCTGTCCACCTGCACTCCCCCTCCCTTCCTTCTGAACCCAATTAAACCCTTTATAAAACATTGCTCCTAAACAAATT